TACCAATCGACTGCCCTCCTCTTCTTCATCGCTGTAATCATGAGGCTTCAAGAAATGTCTCGATGGCATCTGCAAATTATATAGCTGCATTACACCTCGTTAACAGTGTAGGAAAATGTATGACGTCAGAGTGCGCGACACGATTTCGTTCAGCATACAATGCATAGGGCAAAACACGAAAATCTTGAAACATATTCATAAAAATTGGTCTGGACATAATTTAATAATTGGCCAACGCATCGGCTGCCAGTGTGAAAATGCGTTTTTTACACAGTCCCCCACAGTTTTTGTCGCTATCAGCATCGATCTTTCCGACAAATGCTTCCAGCTAAATAAATTAAAACTAGCCGCCAGGATTGTCAGGAAACACCACTTTAAATTTCAGCTTTCTAGCTTTCCTAACTCCCAAGTTAGCAACTTACCTGCAAAAAAATTCACGGGCCCGTACATAGGAACCATACATACCCGGGGGCTGGGTTTAAGCTCACTAATATCTGCGCGGACGGGAACGTCCCATTAAAAATTCAGCTTTCCAGCATTCCTGGCTTCCAATTTAGTAGCTTGCCCGTAAAAAACTTCGGCGGGCCTGGGTACACGCCGGTAATGGCGCCCATTTCGGGGATTGGGACTCGCACGTGCGTCCCAAAGTTTCAGCCTTGCAGCTTTTATAGGTCTTGAGATGAAAAACCATGACAGACGCACATACAGACAAACAGACAGACAACCCCTCGTCAATATGCGTTTTCTGCATTGCATAGATGCACAAAACGCATAAAAATGCTCTACAAAAATCAAGCGTTATTTCGTCAGCTCTCCCTCTCTCTGTCTTATGTATATGCCTTTCTTCGACCCGGTCTTCACGTCTCCTCCAATTCCATGTTTCATGCCATGCTCCCTGTCGTATTCCGTCTCCCCCACCCTGAAAAAGGCTGAAGTATTTGTCCCAAAAACAAGCACGAAACGGCACTTCCCCTGAAATCATTAACATCGAAATGGAAAGTAAAAGAAATATATAAAACGGATGTTTTCATTCGCCAAAATGCTTGTATTTTGTTCCTGAAAAAATAAGTGCATTTTGTTGTTTCGGTGGTGATTGCGTGAAATTAGCAATTACATAAAAGTTTGTAAAAACAACGATATAGTGAAGAGGAAGGGCGGAAAAGGAGGGAAACAAACGGGGAAGCATGAAAGATCGAGGGCAGCCGGAGGAAAAAAGCAGCAAAAGAATGGAAACTAAAGGAAG